ACGCTGTTGCACTGGATCGAGATGAGCTCTCAGCGGAGCTGTCGCTGTCCGCGAGTGCCAATCCTGAAGCACCTATCGCAGCGCTGGCACAGGAGCAGGTTTGACCTTCCGTCAGTAGCCTGCTCATAGCGCCGCAGGCGTGGACCCCGCACCTGTTTGCAGGGCGGGCTCATGTGCAGCATGCCTGTCTTATGCTTGATGGGCAGGCGGATCGGCGGCACTTCCCCCGGCTGCGGAGCCGGGGCGTCTGGCGCTGCTCGCTGCTCGCCGCTTTGCGGCCCTAGAGCCGGCCCTCAACCCGCCGCCGCCCCGCCCGCCGCCGGCAGCTCGCCGTCGCCGCCCAGGCGCAGGCCAGCCTCGGGCCTTTCCCATGCCCTTTCCTCGGCAGCGAATTCGACGCAGCACCGGCTCTGCTCGCGTCGGATGGGCATGCCACCCGCGGGGCCCCACCAGCCCACGCTCCGTCACCCGAAAGTGAAGCGGGCCTGTTCTGCTCTGCCGCAAAACAATCACGGGCTGTGCAACGCGCAATGGGCTGCGTGCCCAGCCAGCCGGCGCACGACTGCCATCGCCTTCAGGCAAATGGCACAACTGCCGCGGCGCACTGGGGCGACAAACTCCAAGGCGCAGCGTGCCAGCACGGGCATCTACGCACGGGCGCGGGGCCCGCACTGCCCCGCAAAGGCAAGCCTCGCACAGATGCCACCTTGGACCCTCGAAAACTCACCCCTCGAGGCCCTAACAGAACGGGGGCGGAACGGGCGCTGAAAACGAGCTGCGCGCGCGCGGCTGCGCGCCCTCACGGACTCAGCGGGAATTGGTCGGACCACCTCGTCAGAAGGCGCCCGCGGGCTCTCCGCCCGATCCGGCGTGGACTCGCCGGCCCACCAGTCGTAGCTCATGCCGTTGGGTCTTTCGTTCCAACTCTACAGCCGGGATCGGCGCACTCGGTGTTCTCCATCAAGTGGCGCGCCTCCGTTGTCACGCGCTGCACCCAATCCACCCATGTCTCCACGTCCCTGTCCTGTTTGCACGCGCGCCCCGACCCAAACATAGCCCGGACCATTTTGAGTCGTGCCCCTTTCAGTTTTGAATCTCGTTCCGCTGTCATTACCCTGGTGCCGCAAGCATGCAGCGCTGTCGGGGTAGCCACGGAATGGAAAATTTCCATCCGAAGATTGATCGGCACTGCCTTGTCCGTCAGCTCCTGCCTGGAGGTTCCGAAATTAGACCACGCCCTCTTCAGCCGGCGCGTCAGCTCAGCGTCGTGGACGGCCAGAAGCGAAAACGCCCTGCCGAAATACATGTTGATTTCCGCTGGTTCCATTACTTCGATCTTCATTCCCTGCGCAACCGCCAATCGAACCTTGCTGACATACTCAATACTGTTGTGATGTATTGTCGTTCTGTCCGGGTGTAGCTCCCACCCGAGTTTCGCGCTCTCTCGCTTCACTGAGTTGTGGTAAGGAGCGGCCGACAAGCAAAATGTCATCAGGAAACCTCAAATTGGCAAGGACAGAATACTCTCTGTAACCAAGCTGCACGCCGTACTTTTTGGCAGCCCACTGTCTTATCACATCGCGTATCACCTCCTCAAGCACACGATTAAAGATAATAGATAATCGGGCTCATGGGATCGCCTTGCCTCGTCCCCTTCAACATGTCAAAGTCGCGGCTTGCCACATCGCAGTTGACGTGCGCACGCTGCCCGCTGTACAGTCTGGAGAATACGCATACGTAGACAGATGGCACTCCGTGGGCCACCAACGACTCCCAGATATTCGAATGAAATATGGAATCCAAAGCTATTTGTGTTAAAAACCCAACATCGCAATCCAAAGCGGCATGGTGTACTCACTGCACTTCTCTGCTATGAAGGTGACAGCAAATAAGTGGTCGTCACAAGTGAAACCTGTTCTGAAATTAGCTTGATAAACAGACTGCACTGTGACGAGCTTGTGATTGATTGTTTCGCATAATACCATGCTGAGAAGATTCTACGATATTGGAATACTGCATATTTGCCTGTAGTTCCCAGGTAGGCGTTCGTCCCTCTTCTTGAATGATACTCTGATTGGGGATGCCTTCCAATAGGCTGGCACGGTTTCCTCCGGGTCCAATACGGCCGTGAAAACGTCTGCTATCATTTGCATCAACAGCCCGCTCCATTTGCGCAGTAGTTCAGCCACCATGCAATTTTCATCTGCAGCCTTGCCCCCATGCATGCTTGTTCAGTTGGCGTCGCACTTCCTCCGGCGTGACAGCAGCGGCACGATCGCAAATAATATCTAACATCACATTGGAGTACGTCGTTGTTTCCTATGTGCTGGATGCAGACGACACGAAGACGTGCTGGATGCAGACGACACGATGTTGATGGCAGAAAAGCCAGAACACATCAAAAAGCATTTGGGCACAGTCGCGCGGACGGGGACAATTTTGGATCGGATCTGAATGTGAGGCAAAATACTTCTCTGGATTATATCTGAAGCTGCCATCACAAGGCCAAAGCAGCGCCGTGTGCCAAAGCAGCGCCGTGTGCTTGGGTGGGCTACACAGCGTCGACGGCCAGCCGTCACGTGAGTTGACGAGGCGCCTTGGAAAGGCAACAGGATACTTTGAGAAAATCCGCGCAATGTGGAACCACGCTAATTTGAGCAAACAAAACAAAAATAGTGCATTTGAAATGTTCTAGATTGCGTATGGTCTCGAATCCGTGCAAGTTTCTGCAAGCAGACTGGGCGAAGCTAGGTGCAATCCAAGCACGGTGCATGAGGATGATTCCCACGATCACACCTGCATATGTTTCCCGTGTCAGTAACGTTAACGTGTGCGCAGTGAACGTGCGCAGAATGTGTCTGACATGTTGCTGCAACGCCAGCTGCTCTTCTATGCCTGGCTTGCCCAGGAATCAACGAGCAACCTTGAAAACGAATGCTATTTTCAGCTGGGTGCCACTCTTACCTCATGCCAAGAAAATGGGAAGCGCGCGAGCAAGAGGCTGGTCACGCTTGCAATGGACAAGTTACGTGCACTCCTAGGCCTTGGAAGTCTCAGGGGCAAACTCAGCAGTCACTAGGAAACGAGGTAGAATGGCCTGCCGCCGTCCAAAGACGGTGCAACTTGGAATAAATTATTTCGTTCCTTCCCTCCCTCCCTCCCTCCCTCCTCCGTCCTGCCTCCCTACTCCCTTGTTTCCCCTCACGTTCGCCCCGTCTGGATTGCCTGAAAATTCATGCACCGCACCGCCCCCCTTGGGCACAAAGTCCTCCAGTGGTCCGCCGGTGGTGCAATTGTTGATTCAGCTCTTCTGCATTTTGCCCAGATGCGCCGCCGCCTGCTTGGTCTGGGGGGCGTACAGTCAACCCGTATACCAATGACGCGCGGTAAGGATGCAAGGGCCTCAGAGAACCACGTTCACGTTTTTCGAATGAGGCTGGCCAGCGAAAGTCGCTGAGGATGGGGCGAAGGGGCAAGGATGCAAGGGTAACGTTAAGTCGGGCCTGTCCCTCTACAGGAGAAATACTCAAACATTGTCAAAAAATACGAGACGATCTTGTCAGCATTTTTTACTAGTTTGGTGCATGTTTTACGTATCTTTAATTTTTCGCCCAAAACCCTTGGAAGGTCGCTCATCCTTACTA